GGTAATATCCGTGTACCGCGTCGTTCTTCATGATAGGTTATATCAATATCAGGATCAACAAGACCGTATGCAAATATCAAAATATTTGTGCCAGACTATTTCATCACATGTTCATTATTTTTAAATAAGAATAACAATTATACGGTTACTTTTATTGGAACATCCATTGGATCGCATGAATCGAACGCACGTTTGAATTGTGTGGCAGTCCATCCGTTCTTTTCTTGTGCATCAAGGAGAAACCAATCCTGTGTTGTATTATCAATCATAGGTTTGGTTTTACCAAATGCAAATCTATCCTTCAAATAGACCATTCATTTTACGCATTGCAAACATATTGAATTTACTTCAATGAACGATTTTCCAGACGATGTGACCCAACTAACAGCTATATCAGCATCTTTCATACCTCCAGCTAAGTATAATGTTTTACATGTATCAATATATTCGATTTCTTCCTACCTGAACTAATTCCTAGGGCAATCCATCCAGTTGTTTTTACATGTAATTCAAAAAGAATTTGATGTTCTTCATCGTTGACTGTCCACCAAAGCTGGACGGAATTTTTTTCAAGTTCGATTGTATGATCATGTACGCTTAATGGTTCGATCGGACTAGATATTCCCATAACTATTTTCGTCGTAATTAACGAAAAATAATAATAGAGTAAAATTCTAGACGACATCAAACGATTCTTTTCAATTGAATTAGATCAAGTCATGGCATTATTTATACGAGGATTTTATCGAATCGAGTTTAATCACTTAAATCCTCTTAATACATCTCGAGTAGAACTTTATCCTATTCGATGCTTTGCTTTCTTCATGTTTTAGTTGAAAAAAAAAAAAGGATTATAAATATTTGCATTCGGTAACATTAAGATAAAAGAGATAGTGTTAACCGTATTAAACTATAAATAAAGTAGGACAATAATGTATTCTCTGACAAAAAAACGATTGTATTCCTCTTTGAACCGAAAAACATCTTTCGACGAAATGTTTTTCGGGAATACAGGCGAGAATGTCCTTTGGAAAATGTCCTCGGACGAAATGTCCTTTTTCTTTTCGTCCGAGGACATTTTCTAAAGGACATTCTGGACTGTTACCATGTCCCAGATGTACAGGTGCGATGGGTTTCGATGTCTTTTGTTCTATGTAAATGCCGAGAAAAAAGTTTGTTTGTTTGTTGGCTTCGCGTTTAGTGCTTGTAACAGCTATCGTCGTGAAACGTCCATCGATAGTTCCTAGCGAAGACCGTCTGAGCGCTCGTACCCAAAAAGGCACCTTAATTTTTCGCTTACTGTGTGACTTCTGTAAATATTGACGGTATGTGCGGGCACCGAAAGCTCGGATTTTCGAATACTCAAAATACTTGAATAGTTGAATTCAACTTTCAAGTTTGACACTACTGATATAAGCGCGTGTCTTATTGTGAAAGAGATACATTCTGGTCATGTAGAGTAGTCAATAAACATCGATACCGTGAGAAGCGGTCAGCTACTCAACCAGTTTGTCGTTACAGTAAGAATGATCAATTTACCGATGTGTTAATCACAAATGGAGGAAATGACAGCCTGTACCTTGTTCGACGAGAATGCCCAACAAAAAACAGCTATTTGCTGTGGTTATCTACAATATGAATTGCCTATCGATCATGATCCAAGTATACAACAGGATGGTTTCTCGCTAGCTGGTGTTCCGTTTTACGTTAACAAGGACACCTTGGGACAATATGAAAAGGGTAAATTATTAGTTTTTCTCAGCATTGTTTGTTTTCCAAGATCTTCAATTATTTGTGAACGAATATTCTGACACTGTTTTCTTTACGATGTTTTAGAAGAAAAAGATTATTCATGATACAATCATGAAATTCGATGAAAATGTACGGAACCTGGGCGCTGTACCAATCAACACCAATGCTATCGGTTTCATTAATTCAATTAAAACATGTTCAATCGTCTGGTAGCATCGATTCCCCCGGATGCTCCTGTTAAAGCATTTTGGACGGTGAGGGCGAATTAAAGAAGAAAAACACCACTCAGGCCCTCCCAGGTTATTATGGTACGGTCGGTTCCGGCCGGTTAGGTTCGTTTTCCGACCATTTCCTTGCCGCCGGATCCGATTCAGATTTCAACGGATTCAGTCGCCGGAATGATCGACCTGAGCTCAACTGTGATATCTCTTGTGAAACCTAAATCGGCCTCTACAAGATTGAATTATTGTTTTTTATTTTTAAGTAAACATTCATTCCAGAAATCTCTACTTTTGCATTCTTTGTTGTCAGACGGGTCTTTTGAAAGAGTTCTGCCAATAATGTTGAACGTTTCACATGATTTGTACGAAAATGAGCTTTGACAAGATGCTGAAGTCGATTGATAAGATTATACATGTCAATCCGAGTTTCAATATCAATCAATAAATCTTCTACTTTAGGAAATAGTCGATAAAATTGCTCAACAATTTCACCAGACACTGGATTTGAATATGAAGAAAATTCGATTGACCGAATGCGTGGAAAACATGCAGACAGACCATCTTCTAAAGCATTAAATTGCAGTGAATGAACATTTGGCATCTGTTCAAGTAAGATGCACGTATCAATGTCTAATTTTTCGATTTCAACTTCTTCGATTTGATGTAAATCAAGAAATAATGACAGAACATCAGGTTTGATTACACGAGTCTTATACCAGAATCGTACACCTTTCGCTTGTCGAAACCGATAATCAATCGGTCGTGTAAAACCATTGAAGAACTTCCGAAACAATAAATGAGCAACTTTCGAGAAAAACACCGATAAAGGAGCAGTTGAATAATTCGGAAAAAAATCGTCTTCGCTTTTGATTTCAAGCGTTGTTGGTGAAAATTTTGGTATTGAACAAATGTGATTACCTATCAATGCAACCCACCAGCGTTTCTTTTCACACCAAAATGGCGAACGAAATGAATTGATGATTCGACAAAGGCTTTCATGATCAGTTCGAACGCAACCTATGTGAAAGTCAAGTTTCTCCAGACCAGCAGCAAATTGTTCCCACTGGCTTCCGTCTAATAAATCACCAGGATAATAGCAATCAAGTTCCAGCCGCTTTAAATTGTTTAAAGCCAGAACTAGTCGTTTTAATGTTAAAATTGAAACTAAAAAACAATGATATTAGTACAGTGATCAAGTGCTGACCTGAGGTCATGGATGAAAAGTATTCGTTCCTGAGTACATAACTATGAAAATATATTGAGATTACTTTGATTTATATTGATAAAAAGACGATTTAGTGATTGAGAGTGTCGCTGAAAGCTGGACAATAACTGTTTTGTACTAAATTTGTTAAAATCGAACTGAATGTAAAGCTCGATAAGGGAATTTCGATGAAGTCGCTGAAGAATCGTTTTCAGATAAAAGTTATCGATCGAATATAGTTTCAAATTTTGAAGATTTTTTGGGAAAATATTTCGATTCAATATTGATCCCTGGTCAACTGATAAAGTTCGCAAAGATTTCGAATGGAGATCAATGAGTTGATAAAATCGATCGCCTGAATAAATGTCGCTTAAATGTAAACTTGTCAAATGATTCGCTGGCAAACGTTTTAATTGGAATACAAACAAATCAATGTTTTCATTGGTTACATTATACACGTTAATTGATCGAAGATTTCGAAACGATTTTAAATCGAATAAAGAAAGAAAATATTGCATTTTCGGTGAAACACCTTCTTCATTCGACATCTTAAGATGAATGACACGTTCCGGTCGAAGATGATTTTTCAACGAATCGAACATTTCTTGCGACATAAACCGAAGATCGATTGAATAGCGAAGATTATAATCACATAAGACTTTGTTGACATGTTTATTCACATTTGAAAATGAATAACTGATTTCCAATGGAGGAAAGTATGAAAAAATTTCAAATAAGATTTCTTTTGGTAGACGATTGAGAAGACAAGGCATTCTTTCGAGAAAAAAACAACTTACTGTTTTTCACTTTTCAAACATAGATAAGCTTGTCGTTGACGATTCTTTTATGTCCTTGTAAAAAGAAAGAGAAAACCAGCCCGTCATCTTTCGGCGATATCTCACGACGTTTAACGGGATTTATGATGAGTTTCATTTGGAAAAGGTATTTTATATAATGAGATATGATATCGACATTATTTTCTTGCAAAATCCTTCACACATTTATGTCGCATATAGAAAACGAGTTATTCCTTCTCATATTACATCTGTATGAATTGAAAAATACGAAAGTTCGTTGCAAATATTTATTCGGTAAGAGACACGTCATAAAAATCGTCTTAACAACGTGTCTAAAGGCAATCAAATCTGATACAAATTCTCCGGTGATGCGGAAAATTCGAATTTTCAGGAAATTTACAGTTTGGGAATTTTGCCAAATTTTCCTGGAAAGCGGAATTTTCCATGCCCTCGTTCTCGGCGCATATCATCGAGGGAAAACGTATTTATTGAGAAAACTTCGTAAAGTTGAACTTCCAAGTGGAGATTTAATATCGACGGAAGGAACTTCGATTACAGCTGAAAGAAAAACTATATTAATCTAGTCTTTTTGAACACAGCCGGTACAGACACACTGGTGAAAAGCGCAGAAATTGAATTCAAACGTGCGACAGAAGCACTGCTGAGAGAAGTTGTTTTACACGTATCCACTTGCATCATCATTGTCGTTAATCGTTGACGCGCGACGGATTACATTTCTATAAAAGAGATTCTAAAATATTGTCGACAGGATCCCGAGAGAAAAAAGATTGTCTAATTCGACATATTATATGAATGATTTTATCTACGGACTAGAATTATTTCGTATAAAACGTCAAGGATTCGAAGTTCCCTTCAATTTTGATCACGGAATAATTGTACAAATATCATAGCTTGCTAAGAATTCTTCAGCACTATTTCTACTAAGAGCTCTCGGATGAGCATTACTTGTTGTTTTTTTTTATAGACAAAGAACATACACCTTATATCCGAATATCCTCCTTTTCTTTCAAGATGTAACGACTGAAGAGATCTTTTCTAGATTGGAATAATCTTTCGAGAACTTCATAACTATAGACGCTATGTTTGTCGTTTCATTGTCTTCAATAATTCCTTTCAGGTCTTTTACTTTGATTTCAACGGTGCTATTCATCTAATTAACTACATCGAAATCCACCAACTATTTTTCATTAAAAATCTCCAAAAAGAAAGAAATTCTGTGAAAGAACATCATACGACAAACGATATTGTGAACAGTTTCTTTGAGATAGTATAGGGCAACAACACAAACTGTCTTACGATCATTAGTAAACACACGCCCTCATCAGTTCGATTTCTCAAGAAACAACAAATCAATTACCAAGACAAACTTTCGTAAATCTCAACACTTTCACATTGTTTTCTCATTTGTCTTTCTTCTAAATAGATGATCGTGTCACAGAAACGCTATTAATTATCGAAAGATCTTCATTCTTTATCAACCAAAGTTCCCTACAAAGATATTCCAATGGCGGGTCAACAACTTCTTCTATGTGCTGCCAACATTTTAACAATAAACAGGCTTGCTCTCCTTATTTCTTTGTAATCGATTGATATAGAGTGTCAACGGAGTTTTACAAAAGAGACCAAGTCTTTTGAAGTGAGATTTTCGACGCTTAACAACGACATCCGATGATTATGATACAAATTTTAATTATGATTGGCCAAATTTGAGTAAGTTGAGGATATTTTCGCCTGATCAAATAAAATCTCTTTTCTGTTGAAGAATCATTTAGTGATGAAAACGATTTGCCCATGGAGAAAATTAATGAAAATCGAAATCGATTTTATCAAGAGAAGTTAGCGAAAGAAATCATTGAGAATGTCGATCAGATCACTTCATCGTTCAACATTCATTTGTATATCGGACAGAACATGATTATCGATACACCCGAAACAATTGTTTCATTCGAAGCGATTTCAGTTGAATCATTTCCAAACAAATCAATAAAACAAGTTGGAGGAGCGGAAATTCGTCTTTCATCAAATGTCACATCTTCTCTTGAAAAGAATTCAGCTATTCATATTTGGCTTATGCGGACTGATCTCATCCAAATTGAATGAATACTGTACGAATGAAGCTCTTTCAATTCCAATTGATTCAGTCTATTCACTTTAGATTATCAAACACGAATTTTTACCTCTGGTTGTTACTATCTTGACGAAAAGAATCATTAGTTTTCCACGAAAATTTTTAAAAAACGCTAAAGGGCTCAGCCCTCCTCTTCACAGCGCCACTATTAGTGTGCTTCGCAGTTTCTTTAAAACTCGATCGATAGTATGCAACTAGTGATTATTCCGAAACCGGAAACACATATTGATTCGATTTCATAACGGAACTTTGGGACTCATGTATATCTGAAAGCATCCAAAATTTGTCGAAATTTCTAATACTTCCTGGCTTTTTCAAAATTATCTTCCCGTTGTGCTTGCTCTCTGATCGAGTTCTGCACACCCTTAATATTCTTACGATTTTCATTCGAGTAGCAACTAATATCAATACGATCGATACAAATAGCATGGTTCATGACAACTTTATTCAAATTCGAGAAAATAATGACGAAAACAAAAGCAGTGTATGGAATACTATGCTGAATAAAGATATAGCAAACGCAAAATTTTCTTTTCTCTATACAAATAAATATGAAGCGTTGTTCACTAATTGATATAAAAGTCAACTTTCAATAGTTGGAACTATTCTATTTCGATTCGTTCTATGTTTTCGAATATGGTAAGAAATGAATCCCACTACTCTCGGTATAATCAATTTAAGAACAGTGATTAAACCACCAGCTAATCCAACGATTGTCGTTACTATATAAATCGGCCTGTTCTTTGTTTCATATGTATAACTACATCGAGATGCTGCACATTCATTATAATAATTTTCATATGTTATCAACCAATCCCATTTCTCAATCATCAAATTGTTAAGTATAACTTCGATAGTGGAATCCACATGAAATTCCATCAGCAATGACTCATTCAGAGCTGTAATAGTCATTGGTGTACT